GTTGGTTACCCCGATGCGTTATTTACTCATACTCCGATTTCACAAGTTTCCTATAGGAGTATTTGACCTACACAAGTAAGACACCGGGCTATATTTTCGAGAAACTTACAAAGTTTCCTATAGGAGTATTTGACCTACACAAGTAAGACACCGGGCTATATTTTCGAGAAACTTACAGAAAGTTTCCTATAGGAGTATTTGACCTACACAAGTAAGGCACCGGGCTATATTTTCGAGAAACTTACAAGAAACTTCAGCGAAAAGCGCGTCCCTTACCGAACGAAAATGCACAAGCCTCCGTGTCTCTTAAAGAACGACCCGGGCGCGCGCGCGGCACAGAGGGAGGACAGAGGAGGCGAGGAGGCACAACAACCGACTCTCTCTACCGTGGTTTTCATACCAACGTATCGTTCTATTTCAAAGTGGGGTCGGCCGTTTTCCATGACGACGGCACACTGTAAAACAACTACTACGCGCCGAACGAACAGTCTTACCATCTACACACAGTAGATAGACCAAACACCGAGAATGCAGAAGGCATGCCGAGCGGCCCGCTACAGCACCACACACAGCAACACTGCATGCAGCCAGCAGAGAACATACTGCGATCTTTTGTAGCATCGTCATCATCATACCATCAGCAAGCAACAGACCAGCGATCTGCCATTTTCTTCCCTCTCGGCGAAAAGTATTTACCACTTTCTTTCGTAATAAATCCAACGCAGTTACAGTAGTCAGTCGTATAATGTTGATGTGTTTAGTTAGGTGTTGTCAGTTTGTGGTCGTCCTTGTGGCAACAGAAAGCGGAGGCGAGTCTAACGCGCCCGCCCTATTTCTTTCACGCCGACACCCAGCGAACGTCGGATAGAGAGAAAAGTACCGACCCAACCTTGACCCAGCGAAAGTATTTCAACGGAGGAACTCTTCAACCGCTCTATAATGATAAGGAGGGATTTTATTGCTTGAAGTACGTGGACCAACAACTGGTGTTCTTTCGTTCTGGTCCGCGACCCACGAAACGGTCCCCGCATCCACGCCGTTTTCAGTCTGAGTAATTTACGACGCCTCTTTGAACAGATACCACTGATACTAAGATAGAACGTGCTCACTGGCAGCGCATACACTCTTTTGTTATCGCTGACAGTGATTTCTTCCGACGGGCTACAAGCGGGGGGGAGGGTCCTCGAACAGGAACACTCCTAGCTCATTGTGTCCTATTTTCTTGTGCTTGCCTGGGCGAACTCCAAGTTCAGCCTGCCCTGGGCATCCTCCAGCTTCGTCCTCTTTAGCATCCGACCTCCAAAACGCTCCACCTGTTCGGACAGCATGCAGTACAGCTTTATCGGCACTGAACAGGTGGTGCGTCAAAACCCAGACTTGACTACACGTGTCATGCATCTTTATCATGTCATACAGTCGAACGTAAGCGCTACACCACACCATACCGGCGACATACAAGTATGACAACAAATACCGGCGCAGCTACTCGTACGATGCTGTTGGTTTCAGGGTAAAGATGATACAGAACCGGCGCAACAAAGTGCTCATTTTATGCACTGATGTTAGACTCCAGATATACATACCCAAATTACGATCCAACACCGCTGGGCGACGAAAAAACAACAAAACAGTAAAACAGTCCACCTGGCCGCTGACTAGCTGTCCTTCGTCGAACACACCATACTTGTTGGAGAGTGACAGCATGTCTTCGGCGAACTCCGCAAAGACCATCTTCTCCGCATGCAGAAAGCAGCAGCAACACAGAGAGCGGGTTGCAGTGCCGGAAGCTTGGTGCCAAAGTATCGCCGCATGATTCGGTGAAGAACCTATCCGGCCACACATCATCATAAGGACAGCACTGTGGCAAAAAACACTGTCACAGCAGTTAGAATAATATTCCATCGTTTCGAATCACAGGCTTGCTTGAGATGGCGTCACACCTCAGCCTCCTCGAGGAAATCCTCGTATCCTGGCGCCAGAAGCGACTGATCCAGCTCGAAGCCGCCAAGGAACCTCTCGTCCTGCTGCTGCCGCCGCTGCGGGTTAGCAGCCCCAGCGGGTGGAGTATCACGGAACAGCCTCCCGATCAGCTGGTTCCGGTAGCAAGAAAGGGTTGGAGGCATGAGGTAGGCAGCGGGCATGAGTTGGGTGTAGCCTTGTGGTGACCGTTGTGGTATCTGCGGGCATGCCGAAGCGGTACTGAGGGAAAACGAAGGTTTAGTTATCGAGTTGGAATTATTGAGCAACAGAACCTTGGGGGCGTTACGACGACGATGTTCTGCGGGGTCTTACCAGAACTTGAGACTTAAAAACAAATTGTTCATCCTAGTGTTCACCCTTGTGCGTTGCCTGTTATTAGAGGTCAATTGTTGTTTGCGTCCGAAAGCACGGGATCTCAAAACACCGGACAAAGTCAGCACGACGCTTAACTCGGTACAACACCACTACACGAGGAAAAACTAATGCCTCAAGCGACATCGCGCGGCGTGTTTCAATTGTTGCGATACCTGCCTCTTACCTTCTTGGAGAGATACGTCATGTTGTCCTCCTTGCACATGAAGTCCGGGTAGCTGTCGACTTTGAGCTCCTGTGCGGTACGCAGTGTTTCGACGGTCACACGAAGCAGCAGCGGAATGTATCGTCATCACGTCGCCCGTATTGCTATCCTTCCCCCTTGAACTGAGTGATTTTTCGAGGCAACCGTGTTTCCTCCTTCCTTTTCCGCCTCGAGGAAAGTTGCGCAAGACCAGAAGGACTCCCCGGCCCCCGATAGGAATCTACTGCGAAATCAAACCCAAGGCAAGACGGGTATGCCCCCCTGTCCCACCACACCCTCCCAACACACACATCCCCCCCTCACGTCTGGAAAGACTGCCGGCACCCCCGACTTGGGAAAGTCCACCGCCTTGGAGTGCAATGCTGCCAGCTGGAGGCACTCATCACACCTCGCCCCGAAAGGGGACAGGTCGGCCCGCACTAGGTGAGCGTTGGCGATCTTCCCCAGGTTGTCGTTCTGGATGTACTTGAGGAAGAAGTCGGCGATTTCCTGGCATGGGGGTGATCGAGACGAGTACAACATATTGGTGGATTGCACTTAGAATGGTTCACGTTTGCGAGACAACCGACGAAGCCCGCGCTATTCGTTTGTCCCAGCACCACCAGAAGCGTCAAGCACGACGCCTTCGAGGAGGCTGCTGTCTCTAGCGGGATCCAGCAGCAAGACCTGTGACTTCTCGACCTTACGATCTATTGGCACCCAAAACGTCGGAGGATGCTTACATTGAGGCTTCGGATACTATCACGAAAATCCATCATGTGCTCGTTCCGGGGCTTTGGAGAAAATTACGTTCAAGAATATTCTGTGATACTAAGTTCTGCAACAATCGCCAAACAGAACTTGTTTTGAGGCTCGAGTTGCGCCCGCAGCCCTCGAACTGAAACAAGAAGGGCTAGCTGAGGTTCCCCCTCCGTCTTAGCGACAAACCACGTGGTATCACGTAAGCAACAAGCCAAGGGCGCTCAGATTTTCGCCTGATCCTCCATGCTACACTACTGTCGTGTGAGGGAACTAGTAGGTTCCAATATGTTGCCGGCGAGTCCCCGACTGCTGCGGGAAGGTCTAAACCCTCCAGTGCCCGATGTACCTTCATGTCCACACCCTTGCCCGACGAAGAAGCCGAAGTCTTCGGCTTCTCCGGCGGCTCGTAGCCCATCGCTGGAAAGTTGAACCCATTCTCGCTGTCTCCTTGCACCCCGGCCACCCCTTCCCGTTCAGGGGGTAGCAGGTCCTGGTCCCAGACGACGGAGTAGAGGTCGCCGTCCAGGTCGCCGCCGCTCATCTTTGAGGGCTCCGGCCTGAGCCGGAGAAGGGGCAGCACAACTCCGTCTTTTCATGGTGCCGTCCAGGTCACACATCGATTGCTTCATCTTGACCAGAGGTAGGCTTTTCTTTGTATGCACCCTTTGACTACTGTACGTTCAGCGTAAAGAGGGTAGTAGTTCTTTCGGCAGCAGTAGAAAAGAGGGTCGCTGTCTCGAGCAGGTCGGTTTCAACGTAGTGACACCCTTCCACCGCACTCGATGAGAATAGATTCTCGCGAAACGACATTAACAGTTCATGGCAACTACCCAAGATAGGTCGATGGGCTGGCTAAATAACAACAATGATGCCAGTCAACCTAGGTTGTCAGCGTGAGCAACGGGCGGGCTCTAATTTAACCTTACCCTCCCTGCTGTATTGTGGGGCTACGACTTACCGCTCCCCTTCGCATGAGAAGACTACCACGTTGACGAGGTGGCGAAGCTGGGGCACGTCTCCTGCCGTTTTCAGGACGCGGAGATCTCCTGGTGTTGCGCGGTGTGCGCGGCGGGCAGGCGGGAAGCGGCAGGGGGTTGGAGCAGGCGGAGGGACGGGGCCGAAATTTCCGGGGTTGTTGGGGTTTATGGGGTGAGGTAATCGCTGCGGGTTGTGATGCCCGATCTTCATCGTTCGGTGAGATGCTTGTGTGGCAACACAATCGGAACGCAAAGGGTTGAGGTCTATATCGGGACTTGGGCCGATACGCTAAGGTTGGGACAGAACGGTTGGGGTGTGGTTAGATCTGCTCCCTCTCCTTATCTCTCTCGCTCGCTTGCCTGGGTGCAGGCTGGGGTTTCTGCAGACCAAAACCGGCGTTCCTTCGGGCAGCGTCGACGAGAAGTACACCTACGAGAGCGCACGGAGAGCAAAACGTGGGTGCCGCTTGGTTAGCCACAGGCTCCTTCCTCCGCACAATCCCCGAAAAAAAAAAGGTGAGAAAATGTTGACAACCGGAGTGCCTCCCCTCTCGAGCAGTTTGTGATGGTGTAGTGCCTTCTTCCGCTGAACGAAAACTTGGGGTGGTCGGTCCCACTATGGAGGGTTGTCGAGAGGGTTTGTGACAACGCTCGACGGCAAATGGATGACATCGAGGACACCCCCCCCCCCCTGCCCCTGCCCCTCCCCATGTCCCATCAACCATCTACCTCCTGCGTGCATTGCCCAAATCTGTCAGCGTTTGTCATGATGGAAGCACGGTTTGCGGTATAATGGTTTACCGACCGGCACCCAAGAGAGTCACTCGCCTGCCCCGGCTGTAGCAAGCCGGTCTCATCGACGATGCCCAGGAGACAGGAGGCGTCGGGGACAAAGATGCGCGTCCGGTGGCGAAGGTCGATCATTGCTTTGTCTCTCGTAGCGCGAAGAACGCTCTGCGTGTAGATGCGTCGATGAGGTGGGGAAAATATATTGTCGTGTGTGCTATAGCACTAAAGCTGGTCGTGCACGCACTAGCTTCTGCTCGCTTGCCCCGGTGAAAACTGCCCTGCCGGGTCCCAACTTCGCGCTAGGAGAAAGTGCTCTCAGGAGCGTTTTCACGTCATGCATGACAATACACGTTGCTGCGTGCTGGCAAGGGGCCTGTGTCTCCCGCATCCGCGATGTCATGATCCCATGGCGACAACCATACACGTACTTCACCTGCAGGAAGGGTTCTGTCCGGATGTTGATACCCGCCCTCACCATGGCCAACGCCTCCCAAAGGGGACCGACCTGCTTCCTCCCCGTTTTACCCCCCGAGGTGATGTTGTAGTAGCGCACCAGAGCCATCTCGGCCTCGGCGGGATCGGAAAGCATCTTGGTAACGTGACAAACAACAAAGTTCAAGATTTTGGATGTTGAGCGTGAGGAATAGCAACGTACCCGTTCCGAAGAAACCAGATATGAGGAGCGGGGGTTGGAAGGTGGGCCTGTCGGCTCCTGTTCAGTTTGTATCGTGTCCACGGTGGTTACAGAATGGTTCATTTCGGCCTTGTCGAGGTGGTACTTTAACATCGTGTTTTTGACGTTGTCTTTGCCGAAAACTCATTGTGAGCTCTCGTCACACCTACCTCCACATTCTTACTCTAGGCCAAGATGTGAACTTTGGTAGCAACATAAGCAAGATCCAGCTTGGTTGGGAAACAATTTCCCGGGGCTGATTTGCAGTCAACCGAGCGCGAGAAATGAGGTGCCCTATGATTGGGGGAGTATTGAGGGGGCAATGGACGCTCCTTATTCGTTTCTTCAGAACAGACAAGACTCCGGTGGCTGCCTTCTCTCGGAAAGCGCTCAAACCAACTGCCCGTAGCATCCTGTTTCATCGAAGGACGACAAGACGCTCAACGATCGACCGCTGGGAGAAGACTTCAAAAGTTGGAGTTAGAGTTGATCGTTTGGAGGGGCGCCATTTCACCGTCCGTAGTACCTTGTCGAGCGTAGAGACCATCGCGCTGTAGCGCTCTTCGATGACCTTGTCGGGCACACCTAGTGTACCCAGCAGGGTTATGAACTGCCGGTTCAGGTAGCACGGGAGTTGGCGCGCGTACTGGATCACCTGCATGGGCGTGTGTGCGTGCGGAAAGGGGATGACATCGCCGCCTCTGGTGCCTCCCGCCCCAAAGTGAGAGCTCGATCAAAAACGCCGTGATGTCAACCTTGAATAACTATTTACCAAAAGTCGAGGAAAACGTGGGCGAGCCGATCTGCTTTCCTCTATACCCCCCTCAAAAATCAATCGTGAACGGACGTGGAGTGCTCGAGCAAAGCTGTGGCGTACGACATTGCTGCAGGTGTTGTTGTAGAGTCAAGGGCGTTTGTAGATGGAACAACATGTTTGTAAGAATCTCTGCACAGCTCATGCTGTGTAAAGACACAGACGTCAACAGGGCATCTACGCAGTGGTGCTGGCGAGTCCTAGGCCAGAAGCCGTTACGGGGAATGGCCGTGCCTTTTGTCTATGTCGATTTCAAAACAAACTGAACACAAAAAGGGGCAACACTTTGGCCGGCGGTCTCCACGAACAATTTTTAGGACATCACTATATGAGAATACCCTTGCTCTGTTGTGAGCAAAGGTCCCTGAAGTGGTGAATAACCGTTCACCAACGGAGGTAATTTCGCTCTTATTGCAGTGTGGCAAGGAATGGCCAAGCGTGGCTGACGTTAGTCAGCCTTGCTAGGGTGAAAGGTGAGAGTGAGCTTCAGGGCTCGCTTCTACCCTCCGGCTGGTCACAGCAGACGGAGGGTCTTTTCGTTGTAAAGATCTTCAGACCTCAAGAACGTCGTTCCTGGGGTCACGGATCTATACGGTTGTATGTGCGTCCCTACTCCTGGGAAGATACCTATATCCTGGTTTCCACATATATTGTAGAACTGACAGCCACGAGAAAATCCCGTTACTACTATACTGGCTATAGTTGGTCGCGTCACGAAGAGTTTCTCCTTGGGTCGCGTTGCGTGCCTCTGTTCTTCCACTCTCAACTCAATGCCGTAAATCATTCCCGCATTTTAAAGTTCACCTCTAGAGTGTTCCGCTCTGACGGAAACTTCTGCATGGACGGGCGCACCAGCACCTTGTACCCGCCCCTCCCGGACACGCTTCTCATTACCGAGTCTGGCCAAACAGCCAGCATTCCCTTGCACCCTCCCATCCGGATCTTAACATGCGGTTGCGGCAACCGCGGAACAGCAGTAGGTTGACGAGGTTGTGGTGTTACTCGGCGAACGGAGCAAGGTTTTCCGTGTGGGTAATACTTCGTTGGCACCTATCCACCAGAGACATGGCCGTCCAGAGGTCCTGGTGGATTACTCACACAGCAGTCAAGGGGCTCCAGCGGGAGACTGGATTTGACGTGCATCACCAAGGTTTGGGTGGTTCCTCTGTTGTTTTTGTTGTTGTGGTCGTTACTGTTGTCACGGTTGTGCACGTTGTCTTCTCATCAGCATCATCACCTGGAACGCGCTCGGCGGGGGTTGGCTCACGCTGTGGCCCAAGACGTCCGCGACCTCCCTGACATGTACCATGTCGAATTTGCAACGACAATCAGTGGCAGCGGGATGATGAAAGGCGCGGTGGGAGGGCGATCGATCGCATACAACCATGCACAATCCGAGTACGGCTCCAGAATCCTGCAGCAAGTGAAACCACATCCAGCAGCAAACCCGGTGTGCAATATTCACTGCTGAATTTGGAGCGTATGAGTCGTGTATTTCAAGCGAAATGTGTTGTATGTCGAATACCAAAGGGCAGCAGCGCGTCGCTACTGTTATCCGAAAGTTGCTCTCCTTTCTCTGTATCTCCACGAGACAGAACCCTAGCCGTGTGCATTAACATACACGAGTTCCCCAGGTTCAAACAGATAAAACGAAATGACATCAAGCTTGTGGGAAACTGAAAGGACTTTTAAGCTTGTGTGTAATTTGGAGTCTTGCTGAGGAGTGGGGGGGGGTGTACTCATAGTCGTGCATGCCGTTGTCGTTAGATCATTGACCTCGCAGCCCTACAAAGCCAGGACGGAGCACGCCGGGTTCTCACCGGACCAGGCTCTCACATCACCAAGCGCGAAGCACCGTGAGGTATTCGGCGAGTCGCATGAAGGGTGCGCTGCATCCTGCTAAGGGTGTTCGGCATCTTGTGCTTGCTTGCTTGCGTACAAATGGCAGCTGCGTATGATTTAATTTATTTTCTGGTGCGTATCATGACTTCCAGAGACAGTTACAAGCACTGTGTAACTGCCTCGACGGTGCTTGACTGATTTAACACAACGTGGTGCGATTATCTCCTTTGGACGGAGTGAGGGTTCTCGACCCCGCCCAACAGAATCTACTCGACCACCACTATGGTTACCGCAAAAAAAAAGAAAGGCAAAAAAAAGCGGCAACCTGGTTGCCGGGCTCACGAAGTGATCGGCTTGTTTTACAACGTCGTTGCCAAGCGACGAAAACCCAACCCCGATGGCAAACACCGGAGGGGGGAAGGAGTGGGGGGGGGGGGGGGGGGGGTACTCATAGTCGTGCATGCCGTAGTCGTTAGACCATTGACCTCGAGTTGGGGGAGGGCTAGTTGGCCGTGCTGTTATCCGTAGTGCTTACCTGGCAAGACCTTCCGACATCATCCCACAACCATCGGTGAACTCGTATGGCCCGGCCTTCTTGTCGGGCACCAGCTTCTTCCTGTGAGGGACGGATGGGCGGTCACGTTGACCAATCGCGTTGCGCAATACTTTTGGATTGACCGAGTTTGCTGCACCATTTGGAAGGTTGACCAAATACGGATGGCCACCGGTCGAGTGGGCCCATTAAGCTGCACTAATCTCACGAGCATTGTTTTGCTAAAACATTCCTAAGCGTAAAGTGAGGAAATATTTGGTAGCAGGCGTTGTTTGGACCAACAGAGATCAATTCATAATATGTCGTTCGATCAATATTTCTCACAAGGCTGGGGGCACTTCGACCGTGGACGTCGTCGAGCTTAGGCTCTGGCCGAGCCTGGCGGCATGCTTCCCGACGACGTCGATGCCGGACATATCCCCCATCCAGCTGCGGATGCTGTCCGCCGTCGGTGCCCCATCTTAAGACACAGCACGCCGAACCGGTGGACGGGCCGATCGAAGGAAATGAGGGAGGTTTTTTAAGGGGTTAAACGTGGTATTTTCATAGTTACAGTTTCATCCCATAGCACGCCTTGAAGTCTTAGTCTGATGCGTTCTTCTGTGGCTGAGGCAACGTGTCATACGTGTTTTTCTTAGACGTTCCCCAGGTTGCTGTGATCATGCTTGAAACCCAGATGCGGGTGATAGTTGGTAGATGTTTCCGGCACCCCCTCCCCCCGTCTCATGATGGGTGTCACATTTTGTGTCTGCTGGTACAACGCGGAGAGCTACAGGTGGAAGCAACACAGCAGGTAGGGATCACGCAAAAAACAACAAAGGCATGGACAAATAATAACTACACGGAAGGGGACGTAAGACCGAACACGCATTTACGGACGGACGAATAAACCAGAACATGGGACAGTAGCGTACGATGACTGCAATACACGGGCGACGTAACAGAAACCCCACGCGGAAGTTGCCGACAAACGTTATGAGTTTGCCAACCGGTAGGGTACGGTCGAGAGGAAAAACTATCCACTGAAATACAGCAGGTCCACTGCCGCTCTCGGAGATCTGATCCACCTCACCTCCTTCAGCGTAGAAGAAGCACGCATGTCCTCGAAGTTGGCTTTTGCGTGGGCGTACCGAGGGAGACAGCACAACGCACGACACCAATAACGCAGGGTGCACTTTCAGGAATGTTTGATGCCACTGGCCAAAGGTTCACAATCCGTGTGCAGGCCAACCCAATTGACCAGCAGTCGCTACTAGAGGAGGACAATAAGTCAAAAACAAAATAATTGGCGCGTGTCAGCTAATGTTGAGAAACGAAACGCAGCAAAGTTTCAAACTTGAATAAAAACGGGTGAGTGGACAAAACGCATTGACCGCCTCCGCAGTAGCTTGAGCACCAGAATCAGCAGTAGATGACGAGCACTAACAGCGACGAAGCAAAGACTTCACCATTCAGCACAACCAAACCCTGACAAGCGTCGTTCCCATGGCACCTGCCGGAGTAGGCGAGGAACTCGTACTTGCGCCCTGCGATCACCAGCCCGTCCTTCATGAATCCCTCCAACCTACCAAACCAAAGGGAAGGTGGGATGGGGGGGAGTAGTCATTCCCATGCAGTTCTCGGGCCATATAACCTCGTTTCCCCGTTGAGCCGGCATAACGCGCACCGGATTGAGTTACCGTCCAACTTGGTGGGGAAGGGTTTTTGAGCCCTACATCATGATCCGCGTATATTGCCGAGGCTCGGAGGTCTCAGTTAACACGATCTTAAGCCCCATCTACGCCCTAAAGTATTTCCCGGTCACACGTATCGCAAGCAGCCCCAACTCCAGTAGATCTTTCTCTTCAAGCAACTCTCACCTTAGACAGCCAAGTAGCAGGCTGGAAAGGGTTCTTCGATCTTGTTGTTTCTCTTGGTCATGCGACCTTTGACCACCCACGCATATGAACTGAGGTAAACCACCGCGTCCTATGCCAAGAGGAGCCACTTCCAACCTTTGAAGCTTTTAAAACGATAGTAACAGGCACCGCTGCGATCCACAGGAATTACCTGGGTACCAGCAAAGGCGAGAGCTGCAACCTGCCCATGTTCTCGTCGACGAAGTTCACCCGAAGGAACCTGACCGCAGAAGGGCCACAACAAAAGGAGGGTTCCGATTTTGTTTCTCCTCCGATGTCTATAGTTCTGCCCGTTTGGTGACTATGCACGACACGGTTGGCAAGTAGTCTGGGCACTGACGGCTATTATGGTGCGATAGCATGCGCAAAATAAAAACGGAAGCCAACAACGGTAACCTACATGCAGACGGGGGCAGTAAACTGTGCTTGAAGATCTTGGGGGCTAGTGCATCAACCACGGCTACGAGCACGGGGCTGAGTAGGAAATAGCAACCCAGCTAGCTTAGATCTAGGGTTAAGCTTAGGGTTAACCCTCAGCAAGTGGCGACAGAAGCCACACGATGGCAGCCAGGATAGAAACGTCAACCTGTCGGAGTGCTCTGCGAAGCGCCTCGTGACGCCGTTGGACATCTCCTGCTCCGGCGGCTGGCACACGACACGCAACGGCGTCACGCTTGCCCGGGGTACCTGCCGTTCCCACGACGATGATGGGGGACGGAGACCACCATTAGACATTTCAATGGTAGTTGTGGGGGAACTGAAGAGGGTTTCGGAGAGCGATGTTGCAAGAAGCAAGCAACTTTTGTTTTGCCACAAAGCGGCATGTGAAGACAAAAAAAAAAAGAACACAATGACACCCATCCCTCCTCCGTATGTATGCTACAATCTTGCCACCATCCATCCGTGCCCTAGCCCTAACCCTAAAACCCTAAGCCAGTACAACGTTCTGCCACACGGTCTCGTCAATCCTGGTGAGCGTGGTCCCAGTCTGGTACGGAGATGGGGACAGGTCGAAGGTATCCCATTGCACCCTTCGGCTACGACGCCCGATCAATCGTGAGTTCCGTTCTTCTCTTACCATAACGTTGCCGGTTTCCTTGCCGTATTCTCCCACACCATACACAGCTCCGTTGTAAGGGCCGTATCCCTCGAGCCACCGCAAAATCTCTCGCGAGGGGGTGTCCTCCAGCCGAGCCCTAGGGTCGGTGCTGAGCATCGAGCTGTAGAGGAAGGATGGGGCGGGGAACGCACTCAGTTTGCCTGCCATGAGTCACTCGATCATTTATTGGGCATCCCTTCTCGAGACGGAGTACACCGTGCCTATTTCCCGTAGAGGTACCGCCAACTCTCGAGCGCTCTTTGCGTGTCGTCCATGCTTCACACAGGACCCTAACGCGGGAGGGTGGGGGGCGGGGCTCGAGCTCTCATCCGTACATCGTTGTGTGACTCCGGTGGCACACGGGCCATATGCTTAACGATTCTCAAGCTTTCCGGTGTGTGCAGATCCCGTGGTTACCTTAGGGCCAGGCAGGCCCTCTCTTCACCCGCCATCGCGAGGAGGGACACCGCCTCTTTGTCCACACCGAAAGCGTCGATCTTGAGGCTGGACGTCAGGCACTGCCGATTTCGCATGAGCATTATGGTGTAAGGTTGATGTTCAGTGTCTTAAGAGAGGGAGAATCAAGATCTCCACAGCAAGGGGAGATCGGCTCAGTCCTTGGACCCACAATGATCGGACGTTGCACCTGTTGTGCCGCCTCCACAACAACCAAAATACAGGGGGAAAGCGATTGCACGCCATGCCGACATGCGTGAGTTCTTGCGGTGGGCATGATGCGGACGAAGTGCTCGGGCGGGTCACGGGGGCGATGCAACGGTGGCGGGAGTAGCACGCAAGGTCGAACAACGGGTGCGACGTTCTTCCTACTACTACACACACGCTTATGCAACAGGATGAGATGGGCTTTGAAATCGTACCGGTAAGTGTTTCTTGTCGTCCTGCTTTCGGTTTCGAGGCACACCAGTAACAACATGGGCGTCACACGCCGCCAAAAGTATGTGTACCGAATGTGGAATATTCCGCACGCCTCACTTCCGTCACTTTTGCAGACTCTTTCCCAGTACTTCTATGACACACTAGTAGACCACAAGAAAAAAGTGCCACGGTGTTTTCGAAAACTACTATGTATATGCAGATGACCTCCCTGGCAGACAAACCACAAAATCAGACCCTTAGAAAAGATTAGCAGGGGTCTTGTAAACATCAAAAACCCTTCGAGACACACACAGACAGTGCAAGCAACGCAAGCGACAATGTAGACAGCCTGGAAAGGCAAATGTTTTCGATGCATGAAACATTAACACTAGTCCCGGAACAGCAACGAACCCGTGTGCCTCGAAAGAAAGTGGTAATGCTCACCTCGATGAGGAACTTGACGCTATACGGCAACCTGCTGTACTCCGGCAGGTTGTCCCAGCCGTTCAGCGGTTGCCCTGAGGCGTACGTGTGGACGCGGACGGGAGATAGAAGGTGGTCTTGCCGGGGGCGAGGCTCGGTGCAGAGGCGGAACGCAAAGAGCTCCTGGAATAGCCTTGCTCGCTCGCTCTTGTCCTGAGAGGGAGGGGGCGGGCGCATGGATGGCAAGAAGGGTGGGTACTTTTGTGACTAGTCTCAGCTTTCGTAGCAGCGCTTTCGCCAAATGTCAATACCACCAACACCCACCAACACCACTACTACCAACAACAACAGCGGTCGCACCTCCAACAGGTCGGAGACGTCGATGCGGTAGACAAGGCACCGCCCGAAGGCGCCGTTCGGGGACATGTCTCCGACGCGCCCGAGCTTCTCGGGCATCCTCCTGTCAAACCCGCCGTCCAGCTCCCAAAGGCTTCCATTGCGAAATATTTCTCCGAAAACGGAAAGGATGGACTCCAGATCGAAGAGAGTCTGGCGGGGGAAAGAGTGACAGACAGGGGGGGGGGGGTTACGCCTACACGGCAATGAGGGACGGTAGGGGGAGGGACTCCTCCAAGAATACTTGAATCGCCGTTGTTGATTTGACCTTGCATGATTTTCGCGATGAGAGGAAGCAAAGAGGACGGATGAGGATATTTTTCGGGCAAGGGTTAAAATCGCTTGGACACCGTGGCATCCGAACAGAAAATGTCCTAAGTCCCTGTGCGGGAACGGGTCCCCCCAGTCGTGCAGCAACAGGTCGCTGGGTAGTGCGGTTCTTGCGAGGAATCTGGAGCAGCTTTTCGCGGGTGTCCGCCTAACCGATTCCATTCCTGCTCGAAATCCTCACACGTTTCTTGGTACCGCGGGCCAACATACATGTGTGCGACTCGCTTCATGTCGCCCTTGGCCAACTTTGCGTGGGTGCTACCATTGAGGAGCTCCTCGATCACTGCAGTGCATCTCTCATCTTCCTTTAGACTGTTTCTTGTGGCCTTCTCAGCAGCGCCTCCGGCAACGGAGATGTTGGTTAAAAGAAGGGGAGGCCTCAAACCGGAGAATGCCGTGCAAGTCGCAACGAAACTTTCATCGAAAAACAACAAAAGGACTCCAACTGCAAAGAGGTTTGACACATGACTCGTTGAAGAGACTCCTATCGAGCAAGATACGCGTTGTATGACGAACATGTCCTTGACAATGGGGTTCACATCCACGGCTACTACAAACGCCAGGACCGTCGAGGACACGGCTCTGCCGCCAGACGAAGAAACGGTTGCCCCTCCGAGGACATACTCCAGGGCTCAAAGAAACGTCTTCGACATTCGACACGACTAGTGAGGTAAAGTCATTGCCACCGGAGTTTTCATCCGAGACCCTGTCCCCATCTTCATCCCACCTAGAACACGAACCTGACTTCAACAAACGTGCTCTCAACGAGGTCTCGTGGAGGTCTTGTCGGAAGATGTTTGTTAAGGTCTGGCTCGTTCTCAAGGTGGGATGATGACCGGAACAGGGTCTCGGGTCAAAGACTTGGTAACAAATACTTTTCATCACTTGTTCTCGTCAAACATGGCTTGTTTGATCCCGGAAGTATGTCCTCAGAGGGTAAACCGTTTCTTCGTTGGGCGGCTGCCTTCTACAATATCCTATTTTCAAAGTACTAAAAGCGTGTTTTCGCAATCCCGTGTAGAATTGGTTGTTGTTCGTAAACAATCCACACGCAAATTTGAGGTTCAAGACGTACACACTCTGGTCTATGAAAAAGGGAGGGGGATATCCGTAATTTGACCAATTTTGGTTTTTCTCTACTCTTTGTTTCATACACTTTGTTTGACCACATAAAGTGTAGTAAAAACGATGTTGTTGAGCGACCTCAACCGAGGACGTCTGATAAATGCTGCTGCTGTAGGTAAAATTGTGACCCGGCAGAGCACACGCCCCCCAGTGGAGTGTATCAAACGTTTTTCTCATTACTCTTTGAACCAAATCCCTTTTGGTTGTATAATCATATTTGCAAGTACACCTCCGCACACCTGTCACAAAGGTTGTGGAAAAGCGTATTTGATATCGTGCTCACTGCTGTACTAGACTACTGCCGTGGCACATCAACACTTCAACATATAGACTGTTGACATGCGTCATTAACATATTAGTTTTGTTTTAGTGAGCGCCTCTTTTCAGCAGATCTGACATTCGCTGAAAAGAACACACCAAGCAATCCGGCACAGGCATTACCACCAGGGAAATATTCTTGACTACACACCATTGATGATGCTCATCACGCAGACCTCATGGTATAACATTGATGCCATACTAAAGCGCAAACCCGATCCACTAACTTATACGTACCGAGGCTGATTCCTTGCGCTCCGGTTCGCCGTTCAGAAACGGAGGGCGCAACAGCCTGAACGCCAGCCACGTCCTGCCCCCATCGTTCGTCAGCTCAACCTTATTATAATTTACAGGAGACGGACACAAACGCGACGGCGACACATGAACTCCTGTATAAAACAAGGTTCTGAGCCTGATTTCATACGGACACCGGAATACTCCCGGTAACACCACCGAGAGGCAGCAGCTGCAGGCGATTACAACGTAATCATGTTACGGATTTTCATATTTTCAAACCTCTCCGTCAACGTGGCGCCTCTTGAAGTTCACTTGGCCATGCCGTCCGCGGTCATCCTCGAACATCAGCGAGGCCAGGGATCCTCTTTTTTGACTCCGGCTGGTTCGACAAATCTAACGTTAGAGAGTAAGATACAACGGTTGTCACATTGGGTTTTCAAGTGAGTGTCAGCAAACAAACACAACGTAGAATTGATTCGAAGCAATGTGGGCTCGAAGACAACCGTGGTGGAAATGAGGAGAAGGACCCGGCAGTGCGTGAAAAAGGGCTGCTGTGGTAGATTGAAAACGGGTGACACCACGGGAGATACAAGAGGAGCTTGTGACCATCGTTGTTGGTTTGGGCTTGTGACCATGTGTTCGGGACAGAACGCTCTTAGCAAACGACATTGTTTGTGTAGTGCCGGTCGTCCAGGCTGACATTGCTCCGGAAGCACGACCGGACGGTAACAGACATCACCAAAGAGGCACACCAACTTGATCACCGCTTGTGAACACGTGTCGTCCATTCTTGCGGTGCGCTACCCACACGTTTGATGTGCTCCTTCAAGCCCCCGTCCAAACCCAAGCGGTGGCTAGTGACACGTCTATACTGGCAGACACTCGATTGGTCGTGAAGCATGATAGCGGCCCACAGACAGAGAATCAGCACATGAATTGCCTTCTTGTGGTGTTTCTCCGCCCCTACGCAGACCGACAAAACACTTTTCACCTGAAATGTCACACCCGACTTGACCACCCACAGGCACGTCAGGTCGCCGGGAGGCCACTGCACACACAGCTGCAACCCCCCGCAACTGAAGCCGGGCGCGGTGCCCATGGGTCTCCGGAACCGAGCCTTGGACGGCCTTATCCTGAGGGTCCTTCCACCAAACACAAGGTCTTTGTAGCTCTGTAGGACGTCGGCAATCTCACGCGAGCGCAGCACCACGAACGCGAACGTTGCCTTGGTATTCCGCTTCACTTCGCACCGCAAGATGGACGTTGTGGCGAGCGCTGGGCTGAGGGAGGAAAGTCGCAACACGCTGCCTTGGAGGAATTTGGCCAGGTCTGGCGCCAGGGTACCGTGGGGAACGTTGCCGACATATACTTCCACCTGCTTCTTCGCCGCCTGGTGTTGATGGCCGAATGGGGATGTAGTAGTCGCGAACAAGTAAGGTCCGAGTGGTTGAGAGTTCCACAACTTGGCTGAGGCCTGGTTTCACACAAAGCTGTTGCTATCAGAAGCAGTTTCCACCATATATACGCAATAGCGTTTGACCACAGCCGTTGTTCAAAGATCACTTGGAATGAACCAAACGGACATGTGCCCTCCAGGGGAGAATCCACGCCCTCTTTGCGAAAAATATCAGAGGCGTGGTCAACAACCAGGGTCACCCGACCAGATCTATCTGTGACTCTCCAAGCGCATCACTTGTCAGTTTCCGTCGACACCGCCTACCGATGCGGGCCTCAATGCCGTACATTTAATGGGTTTATCGCCGTTACAACTCCAATCTCCCCCCCTGCTTGGTGTGACGGATCTTGGGCTGGGAAACCCCGTTCATCTCTCACCCAACACTCGAGGTAAATAGCGTTTCGAACTGTTTGTTGGGGAACATGCGGAATTAGGGACGCCGCTATGTTGACCGCGCCATTCGGTGGACGCCACACGCCGATACGGCCACAGTCTTGTGGTACGGCTTCCAACGCACGAGGCCCAAAGTAATTTATGTTTAAAACAACAGCAGTGGTATGGCTAAAAATATTAGGTTTACTCGCCTCATCAAACTGGCGTTGCCCAGGGCTTCCCTCGACCTTCAAACGCTGATACTCTTCGTTGGACCTCCGTCGCTGACTCGCGGAGTCCAGCATCCAACGGGCATGCTCAGAGTTCATCGGAACGCCCCGTGTGTGTGCCAGGCTGCGTCTTCGGCTACCTCGCCGCCGCCGCTTATTGCGGTTCTTCCCCCCGCGTCGTGGCATCTATCGCCGCGCGCGATCCTTCTTAACGCACCAGGGCAGCAACTGCTGGGTGGAAGGCCTATGTGGCCTCGTGCCAGTCCACGACGATGTTGTAGAGTGGTGTGCGCCAAAATAATACACTCAGGCAACGCCGAACACCCGCTCACGCTTCAGAGAAGCGGTGTGGTGAGTGTGTTACGTCACTTACCCCCCCCGGACCTTGTGGAGTGGAGCGAGCCCACGGGGTCCGGTTCTTGATTTCGGCCAAGGCTGTTACACCTGGAACGGGATGCGGGAGGTGCCTGAGGCGATGCTTCTCGCAGAAAAATCGTCATGGTTGTTGAAGCACGGGTTACTATTGGAACAGGGCAACTTCCAACAAGCGCGTGTTCTCTACGCCGTTGTCACACGTCGTTTGAGACTCATCCTGAGCATAATCAGGTTGGGGCATAGCGGCGGTGAGCGGGAAAAAGGGTATAGTTGATTCTCGGGGTATGTGGAGATGCAGCCCCATACAAGCGAAACAGGACGAGCGTAGAGAGCTGGTGAGACAGAACGGAAGCCGACAGGGACAAAAAAAAACGTTTATCGCGCAGCTCACAGGCGTAGTGCAACCAAGCTGTCAAGGAAATGGTGTTCGACGCGCTGAAAAAGTATGCTGGGTTTCCCACACTGAACTGCGGGCACTGGGGGCGGTCGCCAGTATTTGAGCTGGCAACTTGCAACCAAAAAGTGGACAGTTGCCTGTGCGCGTCGCCGTACATTATAATAGTAATCGGCTGCCACTTGCTTACGTCGTACACAGCGCATGTAGCATGGGCTCCGTAACGAAACGAAACCGTTTCAATCCGACTGTCATGCCTTGGAGCGCCTCAGCAGTCCTTGGTGAGACTCCAGTGGCCATCTCCAAGACCTTCAACGAACCTGATACTTCATGTGCAAGGATAATAGAGCCACTCCAAATCTCGCTCTTCGAATACTGATAAAAGTACCGTTGTAGGCAAAGTCAGAGCTTCCAAACAAAGCAAGGATGACTCTCATCGTATGTATGTCTTGAGCACCTCAGCAGCAGTCCCTGGTGAGATTGCAGCGGCAGGACCTCGCCCCAGAATCTTGAACGGACCTGGTCCGAGGAAATGAGACTATGTGATGCAAGCGGTGGAAGGCGTGGTATGAAGGTAGAAGGAGTGTGTTGCAGCTTGGGCGGGGGGGCCTGCCGCAGGGGCAATGGCAGATGGCAGATGGCAGATGTTTGCGTCGCCGAAACGATACAAAACTCGCCGCATTTTGGCGGTTTCCCTCCACTCACTGACTCACTGAAAAGATCAAAACTCTGGGAAATCGTAGACATACAGGTACTTTCTGACGCTATGAATCCATTGCTAATCTGTCTCAGACTCTTTTCTATGATAGAGATGGTTTCGTTGTGTCATATTAAGAAAAATAAAAAATAAACTGAGGGAGATTGCTCGCCCTACGACTAAAAGGGTGCCACACACAAAACGCCCGAACAGTACCTTACACATATCCTCTGCACCTTCCCAACATAACATATATGAGACACACAAGACAGCTACCAAACTGTCTTGTTGAGCCTGTTACCCGCAGGGGAAATGTCCCTATATGCTGTCTGGGAAATCGTAGACATACAGGTACTTTCTGACGCTATGAATCCATTGCTAATCTGTCTCAGACTCTTTTCTATGATAGAGATAGTTTCGTTGTGTCATATTAAGAAAAATAAAAAAAAAGACTCCCATCACATCCCGTTCGACTGTGGGTATATCTCGAATGGGTAGTCTTTCTGTGTGTGTTTTTATTATTCCTTAAGTCGTTCGCCGTTCACCAACCACGGACCACGGCGGTTGTAAACTGCAAACTGGTTATGACGGATGCGACCAGTTCAACCGCATATATATGCTATTTACATGGTACGTTTGGAAAGTCGAGTGTACTATAATCACGTCCACCCCTTTTATTGCGTTGCGCGCCTGGGGACACATGTGTAGACTACATACTGTAAGATATCTCGAATGGGTAGTCTTTCTGTGTGTGTTTTTATTATTCCTTAATACATGGAGACTGTTGTACATGTTGTACATATCCGTGGTCTACTACAGCGGTGTCGTCTCGAGTGGTTTACAGCAGTTCATAGCGATGTGTTAGGCGCTAGTCTTCACCTTCGGTGTTGTTTGATGTCATGGCAACTTTGTGTTGACCCGTTCGCGGACGCCCTCTCTGCCCTCTGGGACGTTTCGAGGATTAAGCGTTTTTCCCCATTCACGACTGAAACGTTCAGTAGGCCGCTTAGCCAACCTTGCACCCCAACACTTGTCTCAAAGCAGGTCGTTGTAGATCGTTGTACATATTCTATGATGCAAGATGAGGGCTACCACAGGTTGGCGTGGTACAATGTAGGTGCTACAAGTCGGTGCGCGTGGTTGGAAGCAAAAGGCCACACCTTGTTACCACTGCTGTAGACACGACGACACCACGAAAGTGCTCGGAGATTTACACGTATGTTTGTCCAATATTTCGAGACGGCTACTAATTGTGCTGAAGAACTTCTGTGCCGTGACTCTCTACCCATTCCCACAATACGTTTTGACGACTTTTTTTCACTGCATATGGACGTGTCTATGGACGTCCACGGCAAGCAGCTCGCCATCCGCAAAACTCACGGCATGTATCATACGTTGCTGGACAGCCATGAAACATCTCATGCATTCGACTCCTAAGACTGTTCATGGGCCCTCGAGTGTGGGCCTGTTACGTTTCGTTTTCTCGACTACCTACTGTCCTTGTAGAGGCACGCACGCGCGATTCGTGGGTCCTGTTGCATGGGTATCTACAGTAGACTGGGTAGGGCAAAACCCCTTCAGAAGAACAAGACCAGCACATGCTGGACCTACAGCTCTAGCCAACTAAATGTTTCTGTCTTTTCGAAAACAACCAAAGATATTCTGTCCGTGGATTAGAGTCTAAGACGACGCTCGAGATGTAGATGTATGTGCTTTATCTACCATCGTTTCTTTCAATAGCCCCCCCCCTAAATATCTGCCCAAATAATAGCCCTCCGCAGGAGGACCTGCCCAACATGCCGGGTATACTGGCCTCTGCGAAGAAGGCGTTATGATGACTATGAACCATTCATCCAGAATGCGCTCTGCAATGGTGATGTCAATAGTCAAAGCCCGTACTTCATCCCGAAAGGCGTTCGAGTCTCGTTGTCGTGTTGCGAATGAAGTTCGGACCAAAGAAGTCATACTCAACTGACTGGGTGCCGAATAGCGTACAGAGAATCCCTACGACGTTTAGAACCTGTTTGGCAGCGCTTCAACCATGAGATTGGGCCACGACCCCCTCAATCCAATACCAAGGACGTCTTGTTAAGGAAAATTAAAACGAGGCAAATGCGTGGGGCCTTAATGCTCGCTGCTCCATTGGTCTGATGTAGGTTGCTGAAGGGTGTCACGCAAATCCTCCGAAAGCGAATCGCCAAAGCATTTACGTGGCGGCGTGTAGCGTTATGGAGGCGATCTCCTCCCCTCCCGCGTCGCTAACCACGAAGGACAGCCAATGATCCTCCCCTTCTTCCTGCCCAAACAGCAGAGTGCAAGCCACTCCCCCTAAGCCCTCATCACCGGCCCCGTTGCCTGCACCGTCTTCGCCCAATGACGCTTCAAGGTTGGGCATTAGCTCTTGCGGCGCCAGCTCCGGGCAAGGCCCCGGCCGCTCGGTGTTTGTTTCCGTGTCACCGCTACCATCTCTGCTATCGATGGTACCGCTACCGTTGTCGCTGAGAGGAGCTAACCCACCGCAGCCCAGCTCGTAAACGGGAAACCGTCCCTCAGTCTCGTGTCCGGAAAAGAAGGA